CTACGGTGACAGAACTGCTATTAAAGAATGTGATTTAATAACCATACTTCATTCACAAAACGCAAAGAATTTCCAAATATTAGATATTGGATCTTCTCAGATAACTCCATTAATTTTAACAGCAATAAAAGAGAATTGCTCATCATTACGAAATCTTGGAATTTCGAAAGCACAAATCACAAACTTAGATCTTATTAAAGATCTTTTAACATCCTTGCCAAAACTACAATACATTGATCTCACGTCAATCCCATGTTTTAACCTTTTAAATACAAATAATCTTTTTACTACCATAAAAAAGAGCAATCATCCCATTCACACAATCGAGATGAGTGAATCATTACTTAAAAAACTTTACGCTGTTGATGATTGGAAAATTGATATAAATAATGGTAGAAGATGGTATTATTCTCGTGAAATTCAGAGAAGAGTGATCAGACCTGATAGAGTACATAATAGAAAATTAGACATAACTGGATATGGTGTGGAATGTATGAGCAAGATTTTTCAATATTATAGTTTTGATGTATGATAATATCACTACTACGGTAGATGACGTAGATTAATGTCTTATAAAATCAATATATATGTATATAATTGCTTATAAGAATATTTTAAAAAAATTTTTATAATTTTTATTGAGTATTATTACTATGAATATATAAATTTTGTAAATAAAAATGATAGTTTATTCCGAAAAAATTCTGCATTAATACTGTATATTATTTATTGATGTAATATTCGCAGGGATAAGTTATGGAATCCATATATATCATGCAACTGGCAATAGTTGTTACTAAACAATCAATAGCGTCGAAGTATTCGCATTTTTTACCAATTATTGCGATTTGCAAAACTCTGTAATCTATAGATATACCGATTGTGATTGTGGCGTAAACAAAATGCATCTATTACACCAAAAATCCTTTGAGTTCTTATCGATTATTTTAGGGACTAGTCATGATTCATTCTCGAAAGATCGTTTGACGCTCTTACTTGTGATACAAGTATTTTCTTGCGACACAATCACAATCGATTATGGCGCTGGAAAATACTTCTATTACGAGTAAGAGCGTTAAACGATTTTCTGAGAATGAGTCCTGACCAATCCTAAAACAATCGATCTCAAAGGGTTTTTAATTATTGCGGTTTGCAAAATTATGTGAAATTTGAAGATCATTAAAAAAAAAAAAGTAATCACTGATTTCCGATTACTGATTTTCGATTTCTTCAACATTTTTTTTGCCTTTTAGACTTGACAAAATTTGCGCATTTATCATTTGTAAAAATTTGATTGGATATTTTAATGCGCAACACCTATTTTTGCAAATATA